CTACTCATCTGCTAATAGGCAAACCTGCTGCACAAATCTTTTTGAAGTGTTCAAGGGCAAAGATATCTGTTTGAGGACTAAGGTGCACCTGACCCAAGCCATGGTATTTTCAATAACCTCACATGCATGAGAAAGCTGGACAGTGAATAAGAAAGATTGTAGAAAAATCAATGCATTTGAATCATGGTGTTGGAGAAGAATATTAAGTGTACCATGGACTACCTGAAGAACAAACAGATCTGAGTTGGAAGACGTACAGCCAGAGTGCTCCTTAGAAGCTTGATGGCAAGACTTTGTCTCACAAACTTCTGACAAATTGTCAGGAGGAACCAATCTCTGGAGAGGACATCATGCTTGGTAAAGTGGAGGGTCAGCGAAAAAAAGGAAGACCTCCAATGAGATGGATTGGCCCAGTGGCAGCAGCAATGGGCTCAAATGTGAGCAACGATTGTGAGGTTGGCTCAGGAACGGGCGGTGTTTCGCTCGGTTGTGCATAAGGTTGCTATGAGTCTGAACAGACTGGACGGCACCTAACATCACCACCAATAACCACAGTGTCTCTGAGTTCTGTGAAAATCCCTAGAAATGCAGGGCATTTGGGTGGGAGAGATACTGATACCCTCCAACCTCACCCACAGCCCTATAACATTTGCTGCATTTCTAGACGTTTAGTCCCACCGGCTGACCAGGAGCACAAAACTCAGGGGAAACTGCCTGAACTTGCCCCAACACCATGAACCAGTTTTCCCCAGAATCAGTGAATATCCACGAAAAGCTTCCAGGACCTTGGGCGTTTATCTTCTTGCTCCCCGCTGTGTTGCTTGACCCTGGGTAGATTCGTGGTGGATATATTGTCATCTTCTGGCTTCTCTGTTGCCTTCAGAAGAGGACCAGCTGACACACCTACATCCTCAATTGGCCTGGTATTGACTTCCTCTATCTTTCCTGCTCGACTGAGCTCTTGACTCAAGCCTTTCCAAGATGACAGGAAGACTTGATTGCATGCAAATTTGCAGAACGCTGCCCACTTCTCCCACATGGCAGGGCTGACTTCCTGGTGTCCACTAACCATGGGTGGCTGCTGCTCCCATCTTACTCATCCTCTGGCTGCACAGTCCCTGCCTGAAGTCCCAGATGGTCACTGGATATATCTTGTTCTGGGCCCATCCTCCTGCGTTTAAGTGCTGCCTTAACAAAGTATCAAAGTGAGTGTTTTTAAGAACAGGCCTTTAGTACCTCACACTTTGGGGAGCTGGAAGTCCAAGACCAGGGTGCTGACATAGTGATGCCTTGTGAGGCCTCGGAAAAAGAACCTGCTCTATACTTCTCTCATAGTTCCTGGTGCTGGCCAGCGATCTTAGATGTTCCTTGATTTGTAGAAGACTCATCACATGACTTCTCTCCCCTGCATGTGACTCTCCTTCTCTGCCTTATCTATCCTTTTGTGAAGCACCGTTCAGAAGATATTAGGACGAGGATCCATTCTATCCTGGCATGACCACCTTTAACTTAAATGATAACGAAAACAAGCTGTACAGCCAAACAAGGTCACATGCTCAGGAATTGGGATGAGGACTTCAATGTAGCTCCTTAGTTGTTGTTACTGTCAAGTGCCTTGGAGTTGTTTCCGACTCTTAGCGACCCTGTATAGGATTTCCTAGGAGTGGCTGGTGAGTTTGAACCGCCAACCTAGTGGTTCAAACTAACCTTGCAGTCCAGTACATTATTTCATAGGGCCACACCAGGACTCCATATCTGTGTTAGGGGACACAATTGCATCATAGTAGATGGTGAATTTCTTTCCAGAGACTCTCTGCCATGGACTGAATTGTGCTCCCCTCCCCCCTGCCCCCAAGTTTGTGTCAGCTCATCTGGACCATGATTCTCAGAGGTTTGACAGTTACATGATGATGCAGTATGGTCATCCCCCACCATGTGATCCGATATCCAATGTCAGGGAAATTTTCCTGGAGTGTGGCTGGCATCGCCGTTTATCCTACAAGACATGAAAGAAAAGAGAATCGAGTAGAAAAGGAAGGACAGACTTCCACCAGGAAAGGCTAGCTAGCACAGAGCACATCCCCTGGACTCAGAATTCCTGCACTGGGAGCCTCCTACAACCAGGATGAACACAAAGAGAAAACCTTCTCCTAGAGTTGGCACTCTGAGTTTGGACTGCTAGCTTCCTAAACTGTTAAAGCCATCCACTTGTAGTATTGTTGTCAGCCAAAACTCAAGCTGTCTGCAGACTCTGAGACAGGCTTTTTGGTTAGAAGAGGGTCAGATTTATTGCAATCTTGAGACAACAAGGAGACAGGAGGGTCTCTGTCACCAACTGTCTTCCCCAAGGAGAGGATCTAGGGGCATTTTCATAGACTTCAGGAAAGCTTCAGCAGATGAACGACAACAAACCATTATTTATCAAAGATATGGAAGCCTGTCACAAGGTCAGAGAGTGGGTACAAGCCATAGGGCTGAGATGATGAATAGCATGTCTACTTGTGTACATAGTTTGCAGTTCATGTACAGTGGGCATTCTGATGCATTAAGTTCCAATAGGTTGTGGTTTCAACAGCTGGGCCCGGCCCCAGGCATTCTGACCTGCCCTTTCTTTACTCCTTTGTAGACAAAGAAAGAGTTTGCAAATGTTTCAGTGAACTCTTAGCTTTGGACCTCGTTCCTGACTTAAAAAAAGGAGAGGAGGTGCAATCAGGGAAAAACAGCTGTTAGGATTTTTCTGCCTGTTTCAGTATTCCTATTAGAGTTGTTAAGTGCCTTTGAGTTAGTTCTGACCTATAGCGACCCGCTATAGGATTTCTAGTAGCGTAGTGGTTACGAGTCGGGCTGTGAACCGCAAGGTCAGCAGTTCGAAACTATCAGCTGTTCCGCGGGAGAAAGATGAGACGTTCTGCTCCTGTAAAGATATATAGCCTCGGAAACCCTGTACAAGGTCGCTATGAGTTGGAACCGACTCCACAACACTTAACAACAACAATACGATTTCTGAGGAGTGACTGGTGAGCCTGAACTGCCAACCTTGTGGTTCAAACCGACTTTGCAGTTCAGCGCATTAACCCACAACGCCACGCCAGGACTCCTCTATTACGGTGTTGGCTGTATAGCCACCCTGTACAGGGTTTCCAAGGCTGTAAATCTTAACAGGAGCAGAAAGGCTCAGCTTTCTAGTATGGAATGACCTTGAGGTTAGCAGCCCGACTCATAACCACTACACTACCAGAGCTAATGAAGATATATTCTCCATCTAGAAGTGGGTGGTGGGGTTGAGACTGTCTTTAGTGCAGGACAGGAAACAGAAGCAGTAATTCTAATCAAAGCCCAAAGCAAACATGTTTCAACAGCATGGACCACCCAGAAGGAGAAACCAGAGCTGGTGAGCCTGGTGGGGTGAAGCCATGGGGGAAGCAAAAAATGCCCTCAGCTTGGTCATTCCTGATGATGTGTCCGAAGTCAATAAGCTGAAATCTCAGCATCCTCAGTCCTAAGGAGTATCCAACCTGTCCTTCTAAGATGGATGAGATTATCCTTCTGGTAACTGACAATATGTTCAACATAAATTGATTCTTCTTTGGAATGGTGGTGGTGGTAGTGAGGTGCCGTGGAGTCAGTTCCGACGCACAGTGACCCTGTACAGGGTTTCCGAGGCTGTAAATCTTTACAGGAGCAGAAAGCCTCATCTTTCTCCCACGGAACAGCTGGTAGTTTCGAACTGCTGACCTTGCAGTTTGCAGCCCGATTTGTAACCACTCTCTATTCAGTCAGGAGCTGTGATTGTGGGTTTTTCTTTTTTATTATTCCTAATTGCATTTTTTAAAAAAGTTTTTTATTGTGAATTGAGTGATCGTTTGCATGGTAGAACATCAATTTTACACTCATCGGTTCATTGCAATGGTCCTCCATTCATCATCATTCAACAGTATTTGCTTCTGTTCCCTCTGTTTTTGTTTTGTTTTGTTTTGTTTTGTTTTTTGGATGTACACAAAAGTCTTCAGGAATATATAATCACTTAAACAACCCAAGGGCACATTCTGCAAGTCTGCTTCCTGGCCGCCGACACACAGCTTTTCTCTTTCCATGAATCTAGAGTCCTCAGCTGCTCCCTCTCTCCATGTCCTCATCTCTGCCTCCTCCTCTGGTGTCGCTACTTCTCTATATAGAGTCCCACATTCTGCTCATGCTTTTCTCCCTTGATGATCCTGGGGTCCTCTGGTCCTGGAGTGTAAGATTAACTACTCCCTGCTTTTTGTTATAAAACATTTACCTTTACAATTGTGACAGTCACAATTAGTCATGATAACAATTACTCACTATTGAATCATAAGAATCTTATCTCCATCTCTTTTCACCAGACCCGTTTAGACAAGATGGAAACTATTCAGTGGAGATTCTCCCTTCCCCCGCACACTCTGAAACTAAACTCCCTCTTGAAAATTTGTTAGCCAGTCACTTCATGCCTTTACAGCCCACCCTGCCATTTTAGGCAGCCAATGTTAAGGAGCTCTGGTAGTGTAGTGGTTACAAATTGGGCTGCTAACCTCAAGGTCAGCAGTTTAAACCCACCATCTGTTCTGTGGGAAAAAGATGTAAATAAAGAAATATTTACAGCCCCAGAAACCCTGTACAAGGTCACTATGAGTCAGAACTGACTCCACGGCACATAACCACCATGACCACCAATGTCTAAGTTGCCCATCCCTATGAATCCTGTGTACAGAGGGGATAAGTTTGATTGGGATTGTGGTTTTCATTGCTTTTTCTTTACCAGGTGAAGAAAGGAATTGCTTAATCTTTGATTGGTAGATCAAAAAGTGGAACATGAGAGCCAGTAGTAACATTTAGAGTAAAATACAGGATTGTGATGTGATGCTAAACAAGTTGGCCTACCTGGGGCATGCATGGCTAGGGAACTCTTGCTTTATAGATCACACAGACAACTCCATTGTGTCAGTGTGAGAGAACTTCCTTCCCACACCCACCCTCACCTCATCTCTGAGAGCCCTCTGCAGGACCACCCTCAGGGACTCCCACTTCCTCCACTGCCTGAAACTCCCAACAAAAAAGTAGATGACGGGGTTGACGCTGCTGTTCATACAGGACAGAATGTCAATGAGATAGTAGGGCAGGTTCATGGGCTGGAGTAGGGTTTGGTACCAGTCTAGAAGTAGCCAGTACATTCCAAAAGGGAGGCCACAAAGCAGGAACCCAAGGACAGTGAGCAGGATAATAACATAGATCTTTGTGGGGTGGTGTCGCTGGGAGGAGCACTGGACCCTGAGGAGCAGAGTCAAGCTAGACACACACATCACAGAGACCAAGAGGAGGATCAGCACTGCACTGACCACAGTGAGATGGTAGCAGGCCTGCCTACTGTAGCCTCTGGACAGGAAACCACAGCTGTCTCCTGTCAGTGTGCACACCAACAGGGACTTGGTCCAAAGCAGGACACACACGATGGTGGACAGGTGTTTGGGCCGGTGGAAGCGGTACCAGACCGGGCAGAGAACGGACAGGCAGCGTTCCGTGCTGATGGCGGCCAGGAGACTCATGTCCATGGTGTAGGAGGAAAACGCTATCGGGGCCACAAGTTTAGCCATGGGGAAGGTGGAATAAAAGTGCCACTTGACCTTGAAGTGAAGGGTTGTCAAGGAAGTATCATAGGAACCTGTCAGAATGTCCGTCAAGACGAAGAAGAGCTGGCAGCACAGGAAGGTGAAATCTGCTCCCGCCAAGTTGAGGACGTAAACAGAGAAAGCATTCCTCTTGATGCGGAAACCCAGGAGCCAGAGGACGGTCCCGTTCCAGAAGAGCCCAAAGAGACTGATGACAACTGTGATGGGGAAGGTGAGCCTGGCCAGCGTCTTGCTCTGGGTGTAGTTCCCGGGGCTGTTAGTGGGCTCCATGTTCATTCCTTCCAGTCCACTGTTGTAGGCTACTGGCCAGAGAGATGGCGTGGAAGAGGACGCCATGTTGGGTCTATTAACGTTCCCGATGATACTTCCTGCAGACCCACCTGTGGGCACAAGTCCATAAATTACATCAGACGTCCTTTGGGGTGAAGAGTTGCTCATGTTCCCCCCAAGTTACCATTGATTTTGGGGACTCTTAGAAGGATTGATGGGGACATATGGGATACCACTTCATTTGGAATGACCAATGGCAATTTTTGGCGGTGCTTATGCTGGACTGCTCTGGTAGCGTAGTGGTTACGAATCGGGCTGTGAACCTTAAGGTCAGCAGTTCAAAACTACCAGCTGCTCTGTGGGAGAAAGATGAGGCGTTCTGCTCCCGTAAAGATTTACAGTCTCGGAAACCCTGTACAGGGTCGCTATGGGTCAGAACTGACTAGACAGCATTTAACAACAACAACAACATGCTGGACTGCAAGGTGCATTTAAGCCACAAGGTCAGCGGTTCAAAGCCACCAGCCACTCCTCAGAAACCCTATGCAGGGTCCCTTGATTCAGAACCGAGTTGACAACACTTAACAACAGCATACCATTTTCTTAAAAGAAAATGGTGAGCACAAAATTAAGCATGAATGTGAACATGTATTTTAAATGAGAAAACTGAAAAAAAAAATGCTAGAAGCATCATAAAGCATTGCACCAAAATAAATAATAAAATGAATTAATTATTTAATATACCCTATAGTCGGCACAAGAGGCACTCACTCATCTCTGCCA